TCATTTTATAATAATAAAGCCACCAACACAAAAGAATTACAATTCTTAAATTGATGACAAAAATACCTGTAGGATTTGCAGCTGGTTGGAAAAATACAGGTGACTTTATGCTTCGAGTAGGTACTTTTGTCACCCACGCGCGATTTGCGGACATGACTAGCACTAACCACTGCACAATGAGACTGCTGACTGACTGGCTCACTCAACTTGTGCATGAATCGCGTGTGCCTCCCCCACGCTGCATATCCTGCGGTCCGCCTGCACCGCGTCTCCCGTCGCCTGACCGACCGACACCCCCCACTTCTTCTGGCGCCACTTCTTTAAAATAGACTCGACCAGGCCGAAAACCGACTTCTGCGCATGTGCCACTAAGTTTCAATCGCACTGTACATGCACGCCCGCACGTGGTATTTTGTGGAAGAGCCACACTCAAGGGGCCAAAGAGCCACATGTGGCTCGCAAGCCGCGGTTTGCCGACCACTGTCCTATATAATAAAAGCCCAGTGATCATAATGGCAGAACAACCAGAATGACTGCTTGACCAGTCACTATGAGGTACACTGACCACCTCTTGGTCCCTTTCCCCAGCCAGCAGGCTCTGACTTGCCGATGGTGAACGGGAACTGGGGTGGGTGGCAGGGGATGCAGGCAGCACCAGGCCGAGGCCCCTGCCCTGCTGGTCGCCCCACACACAGAGGCAGCAACGGCTGACCTCTCAGTCCCTCCCCTGGCCGTCAGGCTCCCATCGCTGGATGGTGAACAGGGAACCGGGGTGGGTGGTGGGGAGATGGCCCTGATTGCAGGCTAGGCCTAGGGACCGTACCCACACACGATTTCGTGCACCGGGCCTCTAGTAAGTATATAACTTATTTGGTTTGTCTTTTCCAGTCCCCCTAACCCTACATCAGGGTATATCAGTCTGTTCCATGCCTCCATGCTTCAGGTCTTTTGTTGGTCAATTGGGTTAAATTGTTGAAAATTGGGGTAAATTGTAGGATACCCAGCCAGCGTCTTCTGAGAACTGGAGAATTGCTCGATGTGAAAAACCCACATATCTGGTGTCAGAAATATTGAGGGTGGAGAGGAAATGATGTGTTTTCTTTTAATGACTTATTACAAAGTGAATACACTCATGTAACCCTAACCAAAATCAAGAAACAGAATATTACCAACTTGCCAGAATTGGCATATGCTGGAGACCAAGATCAACAGTAATTGATATAAATGTGAGGAGTCTGGCAGAAGGCTGACCAGGACTCCGTTTGATATTCACAGGGTGAATATCTACATTTTATTACCTGCTGCTGACTCAATGGCCTAAAGCAAACTCTCCCAAAACCTGACAATCTTACTGTTTACTAAACATTACCATTGATATGTCTGTTTGCATTCCTAAAGGCAATTGTGTATTCTAGCTAATAAAAGCAGCTGGGAAAGGAGCAACAGAGAGAACTTGACTTCCATGGTTAAGTTGTCCTCTGGTTCCCCCGGTATTCAAAATAATATTTCGTCTTGTGTATCATTTGTGCGTCAGCCCTTCCTCCAAGTCTTTGAACCTGCGAAAGCCACGCTGGCCGTGGACTCTCGCAGGCATAGCCAGCCCCTGGGACTCTTCCTAATCATTGTTCTCCTCATCTTCCCAAAAGGTAACCACTATGTCTC